TAAGACCTAGACACTGTCCTAATAATTGTTGGGATCAGTCCCTGCCTTTACTTGCCCTGTCTGTTCCCCTGCTTGGCCAGATGGTGAGACTGGCCATCCCATTCCTATTGTTTGAGTCCTTAGTATTTAGTGATTATGCCCCTCACCTGTGTCTTGTTACTTCTAATCCCTAGTGTTTGGTTAATTGTCAATAGCCTTCACCAGTTTCTTTTATAGTCTCGTCATCAGTGTATATAGATACCCTTGCCTTCATTAGCTGGTTATTGTGGTGCTTATTTCTGATGTTATCTGCCAGGCTTGCTGTGATTATGGTAGTTTATTTTTTTTTTGCGCTCGTGTGTATTTCCAGGTTTAGTTTGTCCTCGTCTAACCCACCAGTGGCCTGTACTATGAAGTGGGGTTACTGGCTTATCAGGGTAACTTGTCGGATTTAAGGTAGTCTGGGCAAAATGTAAGCGAACGAATATGAAGTCCATTTGAACTGTGGTACCTTAAATCTGACAAGTTACCCCGATAAGCCAGTAAAACTGCTTCGTAGTACTGGCCACTGGTTTTGTTTTGACCGCTTGTGGTCCCATTTATTTCATATATGTTGAGTTTAAAATAAAGGCACCTACCTGGTTGTTAATGTTTGTCTGGTTATGTTATTTTTGCAGAAACATGTAGGGGTAGATCAGTGGTTCTCAATACCGTTCCTGGCGCCCCTTCTACCAGAATGTTTTTGTTCCAACCCTACCTTAAACAGGCTCAGATGGTCTTTAACAGGCTAAAGCCGGTTTCAGGCCCAACACGGCGAGCACTACGCTGCGCTCCGTGCCGCGTGCCGCTCGCGGAGCTTGTGAGAGCTCTGTGGTCAAAGATGAACTTTATTGAACTTTGACCGCTGAGTACTGTGAGGCATTGTCGCGCGATCAATAGAAACAAGGCACCGAAATCGAAATAGAGGGAATGCAAAATATACATCATCGCTACTGACCGCGAGCCGGAAAGACAGGAGAGAGTTTTGAAAACCACGCCTACTCTTTGTGCAGACACCACTGTTTTTTTGAATGGGGCGCGCACAGCGCATGCCGTGTTTGTTCTGTAACCAGCTTTAGCCTATTAAGGTAGGGTTGGAACGAAAACATTCTGGGGGGGGGGTGCGCCAGGAACGGAATTGAGAACCACTGGGGTAGATGATCTGCTTAAAGGGACAACAGCACCAAAGTTATTAACCAGGAGCTAATTGATTACAAGTTCAGCTCTCTCTCTGCTCCACTAAATACTTTCTGAGTTTTGGGATTTTTGGAAAGCAATTAGGCTTTATTAATATACCCCTCCCAGTGGCTTTCAAACCTGGTTCAGGAACCTAATGATGAACGATTAAATTTGTAGAAGGCTAAAGTGAAAACATTTCGCCACAAAGCCTCCCAGGACAATCCAAGACTACATGATCTACTGTATATCAGCAACATTCAAGCTAGGCAATAAACAGCCATGAAATATACATGCCTAAGGCACCCAAATGGGGATTTTAGATCTTAAAGAGAAAACTAGCACATTTTCAGTTACATAATTTTACATTTCCTCAAAAGGCAGGGAAAACAAGTGAGTGAGGAAGACTTATTTGCTGTTCTTTTGGTGTAGCTTTGCAAAAAAACAAAAACACACGCACACAACGATGGACTCGTATCCTAGCAACATCTCTCTCTCTATCTCTTACTCTATCTTGTCTTTGCTTTAAAGTAATGTAGCAAGGCTCCTTGGGGGAAAAATACATTTGAAGACAGAAATGAGAATTTAGCAATCAGAGACATCTGGGATTTGTAAGCCTTTGTTCTGAAGTTTATTGTGTACAGAGCATCAAGAGATTTCTACTACACTTTGCAGAATTTATGAATCTGGTGCATTTTCTCAATTTTGCCACAAAAATGCTACAAATGGTACAATCTGGCATTATTAGGCCATCATTTTCAGTGTGAAGAGAAATGATATCATCTTAATGAAGTCATATGTAGTAACAACAGTTATCATTTCAGTGTTATTACAAATTTACATTTGGTTTCTTTTTGGAAAAATGATATCTTAATATGATGTGCTAGCTTGCACACACTATGTATACTGGGAGCAAGTATACTGGAAAACTCCCATAAGGAAATGGAAATACACAAATTACAGCACATGTCAAATACTGTACATGCATATAATTAAAACCAATGTTAAGGGACAAACATTCAAAAGACCATCAAAAGATAAAATGGCCAACTTCTCCAGTAGTTATGGTCCAAAGCGAACTCAAATCGATAACTGCAAACCTATGATACTTACAGGCCATCATAAATGTAAAATTATACTGTCTGGAAGTTGATATACTTTGAAATTTCACAAAAAGCGATTAACTTTCTTTTTAACAAACTTCACTACTTGAGTAGATATGAAGACATTCATACTGAATCTTCCTGTTACTTAGATTGCAACAACCTATATTAAGAACGAATGATTTGGTCTGATTATTTAGTTTTTTACGAAAACCATTGTGTACTGCACATCATTCAGTTTCACTTATTTCATTTACTATTTATACCAATAGTTAATTTCCTCGATGTCCAGATTTAATACAGGGTACAACAACATCTGAACCATGTTGACAAGTACTTTAAATAGTCATACTGTATACCTGTTGTCTCCCTTCCTAATTATATATTATCAGTGATAATGGGTCAGTGGTAATTAGGCCTGTATAATGCCTCTAAGACAATATAAAAAAATCATACCACACCTGGCAGTACAAGGCTGCGGTATTTGACGTTTCTTTTCTTGCTGTAAAAACAATGCAACCCTTATTTCAGGAAACTTCTACAGTATATAAACCAATAGACTCTGATCTATACAGTACATGTGAAATTAGTGAAATGATGCTGCACAAACGTTTCAGTGTAAGCGAAAGCATCACCAATTTGTTGCAGAATGGGCACTTAAGTGGCCATTTTTATTCATTAGCATGACTACACCAGCTGATTAAACTAGACATATTTTGCTATGTAAGGAAGCAGCATTTGACAATGTATAATAAATGAGAAAAGAAAAGCTTTTTTGTGCATAACAAAAAAACACTATACAACTATACTAGGGCCAATCGGCCGGCATCTTTGGTGGTCATGCTTTTTCATGTCAGGCCGTACTCCTCTAAGCTTGTCAAGTGACAGCTGACCCTTGTGTAAAAGACGCTTATTGAGCAGGTCACTCTTTTCCATGCTACAGAGAGTACGGAGAGCTGGGAAGTGCTCTTAGTTGGCTGTGACATCGCTCCTGGTGTGCATCCCATTTTCCTTACTTGGAAACTAGGCGATCCAATGTGATTCCGTCCAAGAAACCAAAAAGACTGTATTGAGAGGATCCATGGAAAAGTGGCATGAGACTGGTCATATTTGTTCAATAAACAGCATAATTTACTATGATTTTGTCCCTTAACTGATGCTTTTGACCAGAACAAATCACAGTTCTGCCTCAAGTAGAGATTCACTGATATATTTCAAATTATGGGTCAAAAAGCATAAACTTGTCCTGGCTCCCTTCCAGGTGCAGTAGTCTGCTATGATTACATACTGGTCTACTTCAGGAGTCACATTTTAGAGAATTATTTGACTGTTTGTTACACACTGCATAAGACATATGTTGCACATAGTGCATAAAAGCATAAAAACTAGGCTTTATGGAAACAATGTTCACATAAAATATGTGTGTGTACCAAATGTAAAGGAATTAGACAGTTTTCAGCAGATCTGTGAGCCCAAGCAGTAACTCATTGAAGAATAGAAAATGTCAAGTTCCAGGTCAAATAAGGTCACCAGAAGCTTAGGGACAAATCAAATATGAATTAATACGAACACTTCTGGGTTACTATCTTGGTTATTTAACAAAACTTTGAGTTTCACTTTGTATTCAGTTGGATCATGGTCAGGCAGTATCTATAGATGTATAGTCTATACTATTATATAATATATATTCATATGTACATCAGCTGCCTGCGTGGCTGAATTGAATGTTCTCGATGTGTATTTCTGTATGTCCTGCTTTGTGTCTGTAAACGTACAATATATAATACATGCTGGAATAAAAGATCAAAAAAGATAAAAACATTTTTGACCGTATCACTAAATGTCACCTGCGTGCATGGGAAAAAGAATACAGATTTTTGTGGTGTCTACTAAAGTAGCAAGATGTGCAGGGTTGTCTCGTTCTCCAGGTACTCGTCGTGGTTGCTCTCTGCCTTCCGCTGTGTGGTAAATGACATTGGTGCGCTGGCAGAATCAAAGCGTTGTTTCCACATGGCTCAGCTCCAAAAAAGAGGCGTCTGCGCTCACATCGCTTAGACTGAAGCGAAGCAGTCGCAAGTTTCCATCGGCTTGGTACCGCATAGCATTGCCTTGACTGGGGATCTTCCTTTATATAGAGGGACACAACAAAACATCCAAATCCCAAAAAGGGGATCCAGAATTTTCCTTTTTTCTCACCCTTTTGGGACAAGCTCGCCTTGACCGTCACTTGTGTTGCAAAAAAAAAAGAGAAAAAAAAATACTGTGATCATCGTGTGCGCCAAGAAGGCATACTGTACTACCTATATCGGTGAGTAATATGTCTTCATCTTGTCAGGTTCTGCATTCTTCCTCATTGTGAGTACAGGTCGATAATGATTTTTTTAATGAATAGATATTTAAAGGTGAGTCTCGCTTTGACTCCAACTGTTATGTCACGTCGATTTAACTGAATATGCAAATCTGTTGCTGTTTACTTAATCTCTTTCCGAGATCAGTAATGGAGGTAAACAGGTGACGGGTTCTTGGATTGGATGCACTAGTGTAACCGATGCGTCGTATCATTTAACCTCAGAACTTTTGAGTTATTGTGAGAAATGCGGTATTATTAGAATACCCTTTAAAACGATATTAGATATACAATACGCGTTTAATCGTATACACATGTTGTGATACAGTTGTTTTGTTTCAGGCTGTTAAAGCGCCATGACAGCCGAAAAGACTATTCCAATTATTAATGGGAAAGCAGATGATGGTATGGACCCCGAAGCTTCCAACACCAACCTAGTGCGCAGCAATGACAGGAAAGTCAATGAGAGGGGACACTGGAACAATAAAATAGAGTTTGTGCTGTCTGTCGCTGGAGAGATCATAGGACTTGGCAATGTGTGGAGATTCCCATACCTTTGCTATAAAAACGGAGGCGGTAAGATTTTTTTTCTTGGTTATAAAACACTGCTTCTTAAGATGATTACATAAATAATGTTTTTTTGCATGTATTGCATTGTCAGTAAGTGAGACTTCCGGAAAGGACGATTATGTGGATTGTGGCATTCAACAGGTTGAGAAAGTACTGCAGAGTCTCTTTTAATTGCTTTTGAATTTTGGCCTATACAGGTTTGGGTATTTAAAAGCGTTAGCTTCCAGGGTTTACATCTGACACTTCATATCTATCCCTGCATGCCTATTTGTTCCTTGGCATCTGTACAAATTACTATAATTACCTGTCGTTCTGCATGTCTAAGATGACATTCCAGCCTCACTGACATCTTGTGTCAATGGGAAGTAGGAGAACATAGCAAACAAACATCAACTCAAAGCACAGCAAACAGTGTGAATGAAGGGAGCTGCAGTTAGTCAATACATCAGTATGTGTGTTAAAAATGTTCATTTCTGAATATGGAAACAAACTGCTAAATGCTGACCTCAGATTCTGTTTGGTATGTGATTTGATTATTATCGTTATATCTGATATAATTCTTACATTGTTCTGTAAACAGCAAATGATTAACAAGTACAATTCTTCTGAGTAATTTCAATGGAATCTAAGTTTTCAGATCATTTATATAACATGACCTGACATAACAAGTACCCTGACCTACTATTAAGCCTGCTGTGTGACAATGTATTGCCTTTACTACATGGGAGGGCATGTGTAAATGGAAGCTAAAGGACTACCAACATTGAGAAGGAGATCTGGGGAACTGACATAATGGTTACAGGTATCAAGAATTAACATGATGGTTACAGATATCAAGAATTAACGTGATGTGTGCAGATGGAAGAAGAGAGCAAAGGAATCTCTGAAACGGTTGTCAGTTTGAGTGGAATGAAACACTCGGTGACTTGAGAACAGCCTTTTCTCAGCAGTGCAAACGTTCCCCTGTTCGGTGGTGATGGAATACAGGGAGACTCTTTCACATTCAAATCGGGTTTGTCCTTGATGGTTTAATTGCTTTGCTGCAACCTTCAGCCGACTCTGGCCGACTGAAGATGAACCCTACTAGAGTCGCTTAAGGGGGCCTTGTTTGTGATGTCATGCCTTCTCTTATCACATGATGTAAGCCACGGGAATGGACTTTTGTACCCAATTAACAGATCATTTAATCAAGTGTGTGAACAAAAAAATAAAAAATAAAAATGAAACCCGTGGAGATAGATACCTTGAGCTGGAACACCACTGGATTCTAAGATCTGCCTCTTGTTTGGTGCTATTTGCTGCCACTTTTCATTACACCAAGACATCCTCTCCCTCCTCACAGGCACCGTCTTGTCAGGTACAAAGCATAGCGAAGCGTATAGCTAACATTATTTATATGTTGCAGGTGCGTTCTTGGTGCCATATGTCATATTCTTTGTCTGCTGTGGCATCCCAGTGTTCTTCCTGGAGACGGCACTGGGCCAGTTCACTAGTGAAGGGGGGATCACCTGCTGGCGGAAAGTGTGCCCACTTTTTGAGGGTAAACTGCGTGACAAATACCACACTGCCGTACACAAATACTTGTGACGTCTCATGAGTGTAAAACGCAGTCTTATACTCTGGTTTAAAAACGTGCCACCCTTGTGCAAATTTATGAAATGTCTATAATTTAGGTCCATCATTCTACCAAAATGCTAATTTCAAATGAATGGAAAGAACTCTATTAATATTAAGGATATCATGAATTGAGATTACATGATAAGCGATCATGCAGAGGCCTGGAGGGGAGACCATTACATGCATATATCTATTTACTCTCTGTAGAAAGCAACCTGTTAAATGTGCCATGGTCATTTGAGAAGACGCATTTGTTCTTCATCACGTTTCTTTTAACCTGCAGGTATTGGATATGCCACCCAGGTTATCGAAGCACATCTCAACGTCTATTACATCATCATTCTGGCTTGGGCTATATTTTACTTGTTTAATTGCTTCACGACTGATCTTCCCTGGGCGTCATGTGGACATGAGTGGAATACAGGTTAGACTCTCATTAATCAGTGCCTACGTTTGATTTTTGATTTAATGATTCCACCTGTTTTCCTTTTCTATTAACCAAATGCTTTGGTAGTAATTCAGAGTCAAGAGCGTATTAACAGTCACGTTTGGCATTGAAGGCAAAGCGCACATGGTTATCTTAATAACCGTTTTTAAACACGGCTTCTCTCTGAAAATTAGAATTTTAGGAAAGTGGCATTAGCTTTTTCCAGTATGAATAACAATATTTAGAGCAGTGGTTCTGAAGAACTCAACATTGCCTTTCATCTCACTTTAAAATAACTTTTTTCTTTCTTAGAGAACTGCATAGAATTCCAGAAAGTGAACGGAACCAACATAACCAACCCCAATGCAACATCCCCAGTGATAGAGTTCTGGGAGTAAGTGCTTTTCATTAATATGCGGTTTAATATTGAGTATGTTTCCCTTATAATGACACACTCCCATGAAACCGTAATAAAAATAATATAGGTATCCAAATATTAACTGGAGTTTTAGTGCATGCATGTTAGCATCTACCAGTATGAGCTGATTTTCATGGATGGATCGCTTGTGTATTGTCATTGTTAATATTTAGCTACTTTGCAGACTATGCAAGAAGTCTTGCATTTTCAGAACTTTCTTTGCAGTTCTATGCTTGGGTGTGAAATTTATTCCCGCTACTACCCTTCATAACTCGATGGGCACGCTGTTCATGGGATTCGAACCAGCAACCACAAAGTGTGGTGCAGGGGCATCATTGGAGGTGGCGGTGGTTTCAGCAGACACAAAATTGCCGACTGCCGACTGTGACACGGGATTGGGTGTCGGATAACGCCAGCTTTGTTTGCGAAAACAGGCCCTTGTTGTTCCGTCCTTTTTTCCCATCAAAGAGCCACCGGAGAAGGACGCCTGTAAACAGCTTCGGAACGGATGAAGGCAAACCTCTCCTGTCAGTGTCTGTTTTCAGCAGCCTGTATCTGCTGCCTGGCTGATTTCATGGGCAGAATCCCCCATGAGAAACATCCACGTCAACTTCAGCGGCGAAATCTCAGCACTCTGACTAGAGATAAAAACACACTGTCTTAGAATGATCTCACGGCAAAGGATGCTCAATGTTTTATGAGAATTTGGAACGTGGAGCACACAGGCAAGGTGGCTCAGGCGAGAATGCCTGGCATAAGGCATGTGCTCAGCAATAAGCTTCTGGTCTCAGATGATCGAAAAATGCGTAACCTTTACTATAATAATTTGTCCTTCCTTTCACACTGATGTTGTCAACATGCCTCAGGAGGCTGCTGGCACCGCTAGAGATGGTATGGACATAAATTTGGCCCCCGGTCATCTTGTTTGAATTCCCGCACTGTTGCCAGTAGCAGGCGCAGAGGAAACAGTGAAGCTCTAACTGCGGCAATTTGCAGTGACCCGAAACACGGCCGTGTTCTTCTTAAAAAAATGGTCATCTACTTGTGACCCCCTCCTTTTAAGAAATGGAGTCTCTTTGTAACGGGGGCATGGTTAAATTACTTACTTCATTCTAATATAGTTTGAAAATTATATTAAGTTGGCAGATGAAATATATTCTTTGTTAGGCACTGCAAAGTTTGGAACAGAGGATCAAAAATATACCATATATTATGTAATATGAGGGAAGAGTGTTTTTAAAAAACACTGCCAAACCACTGAATCCGTAGTTTTGCTTCAAAAAATCTAGAACAAACAAAATCTAGACAAAATTTGCTTGCCAGAGCATTGTGGAAAAACAGGATGCTCCTTAGCAGCCAACAGCAAAGTCTCCAGATCATAGGAATCAAGCTACTTTGTCAGTGCAAGACGACAATGAAATCGGGTGGATTTACATATTGTTGTTTGTATCATGCACTTTGAAATATATGGCAGAGAGAATGAATGAGCTGGTAAATAAATGGCTGTTATAGCTTGTTGGTCTTGCTGTTAGCGTTCTTGGGCAAAGGGGTGCACCATGAAAGAATAAGCATGCATGAACCTGAAGAGTCGCTAACCCTCACATGTAATTGGCTTTTCACCTAATCCCGCTGTAGAACTTTACAAATATGCACTGTGCTACATCTGTATGCTTTATGGTGCCCAGAATGCTTGTGCTGACTATCCAGATCACTGGAATGACTGGAGTGTGTTGGAGTGTGTGATTTGTTCATTATATTGTATGACTGACAATAGTTATGTTAGCTGTAGTCCTGCATTTTTACATATATATGTCATACTGTTTCCTACCGCTTCTTGGGTTAATGTGCACCTTGAGTCTTTAAGGCTTCATGGGAAACGCCCTTCTCCTGCAGCAACAAAACCCAAGCGCGATCGATCACTAATACCTGGCCAATTTCGCCCCCTACAGGCGCCGCGTGCTCAGCATCTCCAGCGGAATCGAGCACATTGGGAGCCTGCGATGGGAGCTGGCACTCTGTCTGCTCCTGGCCTGGTTCATATGCTACTTTTGCATCTGGAAGGGGCCCAAATCCACCGGAAAGGTAACTCAAATTCCGCCGGATACCACAGAGCTCTTTAGTTACTAACAGAACAAATCAGCAGGGTAAATCAGCAGGGTGCATTTTGGTCATTATAAGATGGCATTTATGTCAATCATTCACTGATTCAATTGCGTATAATGCTCATTAGTTCGGGTTGTTCAGGTTAGCTTGAATCATTTCCAAATAAATTCTCAGTGGTGATATGTTATGCAATTATGTTACCTTTACTTATATGCTAATGTTTTGCTGTTTTGTTTATTTTATTTTGGCATGGTGGGTGGCACTGTGGCCTCACACTCAGACCACCGTGGCCTTGGTTTCTGCCCTTAGCTCTGTATGTGTACAACCTGCTCTCCCTGTGTTCTGCTGGTCTTTATGGGCATTTTGGCCTCTTTGCGGTTTATGTGAGTCAACACCTCTAAGTTGATGTTAAAGCGTCGTTGTACTTGCGTCCATCGATGGACGGGCATCCCATCCAGGATGTAGCCAGCCACGGGTACTGTACTACTTGGGATCGACTCCAGACCCACCATGGATGAGCGGTTATGCAAAATGGATGGAAGGTTGGATGTGTCGCTTGCGTGGTTTCTATGGTAGAAGTCTAAGTGCGACCTGCTTCTGAAACAGCATGAGAAAGAAACACCCCCTACTTCCCTGACATTGGTTATACCCTAGTAGTTACCCACTCTCTTTGATGGCTTGTTTATACTAATTAACAGCACCAATGCTTCGCTAAAGTCCTATCAAACAGTCATTTTCTTTTGCAGATTAGCTTCTCAAGCATCTCACAATTGCCGTCATTGACTAATGATTTGCGGTTTAAATGATGCCATAATAATTACTATATCAGCTTGATGCATGTAACAGATTAGCGGTTATGTTGTCTGGGGTACCATGAATATTCCAGCTCAGTGCTTGTGTATGTTTGTGCTGAAGATGTCTTAAAGATGCAAAAAAAGAGTGAAAAAAACTGATCTATAACCAACCGTCAACCATCAGAGCAGCACTGCTGGCTGCCTACAGCGCCTCCCAGCAGAGATGTGGCCACCCAGCGTAAGCAGCGGACGGGTCTCAGGATAAATCCCTCCTTTCCCCATTAATATCACCCCACCGCTCCAGAAATCGCTGTTAAACTCCCAAGAACCATAATTTGAAAACAAAAGTGTACAGCCTTCCAACGAATTTCTAATCAGCGGGAGTTTTGGTCAAGTAAAGATGTAACAAGAGTCAGCTTGTAATAGTTAACAAAATCAGCTGTTTTATCGTTCTCACAAAGAATAATAAACGTTGCAGTAGGAAACATTGAAAGAGAAAGACTGAAAATGGCAGACAATAGCATATTGAATATTGACACTAATGTGTTACAGAAAAGTAATATGCCATTCATTCATTTATTCTGTCACTCATTGACTGATTTATTGATTGATTAATTCATTCATTTATCCTTTTTCCCAGAACCAGCTCTCTAATGGAGGGTCATGCTGGTAATACGAATGACAGTAACAAAAGAACACATAAACACTCATATCCCCACCCACACCAGGTCTTCTTCCACATTGTAGTATTTGTCACAAAAAGGTAATAAACTTTAGGTGAATGTTTGGCATATTTGGTAGAACTACAAGTAATGGGGATCAACCCGCTGGCAGAACTCATCTCTACACCCATAATAGTGACATACTCAAGACATACTCAAGAGGAATATGTCGATGTTTCCCTGAGAATTTTTAAATATATTTTAAAAACATATTTTTAATTATATTTTATTATAATGTATTATTTTATTATTTTATCTATCTATTTGTGCAAGGAGGATTTATGTGTTAGAAAATGTAGATTCTGGGTTAACAAAATGCACGATGGGGTTTGTCTGATAGCATTTGTGGTCAGAGTAAAGGAAAACCCAAGATTCTTTTCCATGTATTTTTTAAGCGTTCAGAGCCACTCTGAATTCTGCCGCAGAAGCTCATATCAGAGATCAAAACCAAAACTAATCCGATTATGAATGGTCCCAGATTAGATTAACATTTGTGGCAGGTACATAACATGTGCGAATCTGTTTTATTAACAATGGACACACTCTAATCAATAATATTGGATCTCTTTTTGTTTATGTACTTCTACAAGACTCACTTTGCACTTGGTCTTGTTTCCACCATGTCGTCAAGCTTGTTTGCCAAAAAGTGAACGGGAGTTACACCAAAGAGATCACATCTAGTGCGGTATTCGTGTATCTCGATTTAAGTGGTATAGAACATTCATGGTGCTTGAATACCCTTGTTAGCAGGGTATATGATGGTGGTGTGTTATGTATCAATATCCTCAGTTAATATTCAGATTATGTTTTATCCACAGAAAGGAGAACATCTCATGCATCACATCAACTATAAAGTGTAATTTAGTCATCTACATGTCGACAGCATCATCGTGTTTTGATTAGAAGGTACCTGTTGCCATCTGTTCGCTAAGCGTTATGGGTTGAAGCGCAACCACATTTTAAAATCAAAATTGTTATATATGTTTAGAAAAAAAATTATCTATACCTCTAAGTGTAATGAAACAAGACTTTGGTATTTCATTTTTAAATTAATTGCATCATTAAAAAAAAACAGAGTGGCCTATAATGACAAAGTCGATCAATAGCCAGAAAAAAACGTTACACAGGAAAAACTTTTGCAGCTCATTGAGACAAAACATGTCCAAGGAAAAGCGATTTATTATCCCCATACATAGAGACAAAGAAAGACCCCAGCCTTCCTCTACCTTAGCCTTTTACCCAGAATCCCCCACATTATGAGGGCTTTGGTGCCTTTGCCAACAGCTAAAACTCACTATCCTTCCTCTGGGTGCTTTTTTTTCCCCCCTTTCCTCCCCCCTAAGCCTTTAAACAAGTCTAACAGATTCAATGAGGCATAAAGAAACTGGAAAGAAAGAGAGAGAGATGTTTGAGGAAAAATGAATGGGCTCACATTGTACAGGTCCAGGAAAAAAAGAGTTGGGCAGAAATGCCTATATCTCCTGAAGTGGCTTTTGTTTGGGCATGAAGTAACGGGGAAGAATGCTCCTTCAAGGCAGGACTTTAGCAGCCAGTCCAAGATTGATTTCTGTATTCAGTGGAGAAAAGTAGAACGTTCATGAGGAGCATGCAGAATTCCCCAGCTCCCCTCTCCCCTCTATGAGGAATTATTGCGGCGAGTGGGATTCTTTCTGCTTCTCCATCTTCTTTTTTTTTTTTTGCATCCCCATACAGATCTGAGCATTCAAGGCCATAGCTAAGCTGTTTGCCACAGGCCCTTCGGAGAGAGCCGGTCTCACATAGCTGTCTCCACATTTATGGAAGCAGTTCTGATCATTATATTTAGCCCCCGTGGCCATCTTGGGGGAGTGTGGTGACTGTCGGAGACTCGTGGAGAGACGGCGCACGGATAAGTCTCACTATAACCTGTGACATGTAAACACATAAACATAAAGACTTAGCGCTCGCTGAATAGGGTCTAACCCGCTAACAAGCCATAGCCCGGCAAATGTCGGACCTCACATTGGCTGAAGGGCTCTTTCCCCAAAACTACACGAAAGCCTTCAGTCTTCACCTTGCCCAGTAAATTATGAAGAGCCGTTCATTGGCAGGCTAGGTGGCTAGCAAACAAGGCAGAGTGATTTCTTTCACGCTTTTGACAGCATTCTACCTATTTTTTTCCTAGCACTCTGACTTTTAATGCTCTGTAATATTATTCACCTTAATGCCCGTGATGCTGATTGTTTGCAAAACCCTTGTTAAGGCTTTTGGAAAGAGCATTCTAAGCACAAATCAATTGGATTGATGGAGGAGCATATACTCGCACTGGTGTTTTTCTGTCAACAATTCTGGCTTTACTGAAAGGTTAAATACGAGTCTTAGGCTGTGTGTGTCTAGCAGCCTTCTGTAAAGCGTTACAGGTGGCATGTCCGTCTGTGTACAGCGATACGGCTACTGCCCAATGAATTACTCATGAGATTTCTGAGATCCCATAGCATGTTATGCTTTCTGACAGAAAGTACACCATATTCATTCCTGTGACCAGCGGTGAACCCAAATGATTAATTGGTGATGCAGGCCTGTTTATTGTTCATTTACATCCTTTAATGTATGCTTTAAAGTACAGTGACATAATACAGGTCTGCCGCAAGACTGCGGTAATTGGATGGTTCCATGAGGCACATTTTCCCACACCACCAACAGAGCGCGGCCGAGCCGGGGACTGGGAAGGATCCTTTTTGTTTTAACGCCCCGTCTTGTCCTAACATGCTCTTGACTGGCTGCCAGGGGGAGAAGGACACAGAGCCACTTCCAAGGTGTGAGGAAGAGTGGGGGGGTGAGGGAGGGGGGCAGGGGTGGAATCTTTCCAGGGATTTGGATGGTGCTATTAAATGCAAACACAATTCTTAGGCCTCAAGGTGGGATCTGGGAGGGGCTGCTTACCAGAAGCCATCCATAGTTGTGTTGCAGATAATCACATTATCATGTTTGAGCACTGTGTACCTTCGCATGGCTTACATTAGAAACGTGTCCCGTGTCCGTCAGTGTGGTTTTCAAAGCACAGATTTGCGCGGGGGGGGGGGGGTCCGAGCTGCTCGTGAGCCTCACACCGACACGTCGCGCCCCTCGAAAATCCTCGGTGGTCTATATTTGTTTTGTATTTTTTTTGTATATTGCAGGAGATGTGGTGTAGTGTGGTTTCTCCATCAGAACTTCGGGCTCGGAGTTTAATCTTCACCATCCTCCGGAGTATTAGTCTTTCACTGCTTTCAATTAGGCCGTAGAGAATAGAAGCTGATAAGCTGGCACCAGTGCAGAGCCAGCTTAACCCGCTCGAGGCACCAAGCTAGCATTTAATTACTCCATTCTAAAAAGCCATTTTTTCCATGTATATATGAGCAATGTTGACAAGCATTTTTTTCCAGGTGGAATCAATCAATTGAACTATATTGATTGATGTTAAGTGTAACATTGAGGAATATGATCATGATCAAACTAATTTTAAAGCTTGCTGATTTATGGTTTGATAGTATATTGATTTACGTTATATTATAAATGTATTATTTTGTTATTTTCATTTTATTTTCATTTCAGTGTATCATTATATAAATGCATGGTTGACTTCAAATAAATCGCTAAGTTTTGGTGTATTGTTGTTTACCTTGAGACTTTAAACACACAATGAAGAAGTGGGATGCCTTTGATGGCATAGCTTTCATAAGAACATATTAAGTGTTTGTGTCCTTAAGAACTTATTAAGTGTCAGAAAGCGGCATTAAATCCAGGGTGTGCCGAATTGCCCTGCGCTTCCTGGGTTAGGGTCCAGGCCTGTGTCGAATGACATTGGACGCCACTAGTTGACGAATGTCCTTTAGATAAATTTTGAGTGATCACGTTAAAAGATATGCTTATTTCTTTGCCTTTTAACTCACCTGGCATGACCATATGACTTCTGCATGAATGTATGAATTCTGTACAAAATAAAAATAAAATTCTGTACAAAATGTGTTCTTCGCATTAACGCTAATATGCTAATGGACCTTGCATTGTGTCTCTAGGTGGTGTACGTCACCGCCACCTTCCCCTATGTGATGCTGCTGATCTTGCTAATTCGGGGGATTACTCTACCTGGAGCCGCAGATGGGATTAAGTTTTACCTGTACCCTGATATGACTCGGCTGTCGGACCCGCAGGTAGGGTGGGAGTCAAGGACCTCATTGTTTTTTCTTACTCAGTGTATTATTATAATATCGTTATTACATAATTACAGTGCTTAATTTGTGCAGGATTCAGCCGGAACGCGTTCTGGGACCTCTCTGTTTTTGACTGTCGGTGTTCCAGCACCTATTTCTGCTGTCTCTGTTTAAAAAACAACAGTAACATAAACAAATAAAATAAAATAAAATAAAATAACTATGTATTTTAATTTACAGACCAATTTTCACGTGATTTCACAACCTTTATTAGTTAAGGTTTATTTTTAAAAATACATTGCATGTTTTCAACGCTGTTTTTTACGCATCCCGGGACCAGTGCCGCCACATCACCCCCCCCCCGCTCGCATATGCCCCTTGTGTTCTGGCACCTTCTTATTTACAAATTAAGCACTGCATTATTATTATTAGTAACAGTAGTAGCAGTACTAGCAGCAGCAGCAACAGCAGTATTAGTATTTCAAGCAACACCTCTGGAGAAGAAGCAGTTAATCTGCAACCATAACATACAGTATGAAAAATTCATGTTTCATAGGATGTTCCTTACAAACAAAAGCCACCCAGGCTTTATAAAATTGCATAGCCTGCTGGGCCCATCGATGACTTTTTCCACAGGGACTTTGAGTACGAGCACTACGATTTGCTCATTTGTGATGAAGTGTTTTGTTCTACTAGTGTCAATGTGGTGTCCTGCATTCAAGTGATCTTATCTTGCATGTTTGGCCTAGAGGTCTGGGCACTTCCTCATTTACTGCTTTTTGACATGGAGGCGGGCATTTCGAGGTAATATGTTGTTAGAAAGTGCACAGAAGTGTGCAGGATTTCTGGTGTCAGTATTAAAAGAATCCATTAAGGGGTAATCCTTGAAAACATCCTTCCTCTCAAAATGGGTTCAGGTCTCCATCTGATTATAAAGTATGTATCACTGTACAGAACAGAAGGGTTGACCCTATCTCTTGAGTACAGACATCTGAGGTTGCTAAGCAACAGCTCGGTGAATGCTTCTAGTCCTGAAGTCATTTAGCTGCGATAGATCTGGATGACTTTTACCATGTGAATCTGAGATCTGTAAGCCTTGTATTTTCACTCTTTCATTCACAAGTGCAGTGGTGTCTCAGAGGCTAAAATGAGTCAAAAGGACTGGTTTGTTGAATTTTACAGAAATGATGTAACTCGTATTAGCAAAATGATGGCCTGCTCACTGCAGTTTTGGCACTTCCCCCGTTGGCGACATATAATGAGATTCATCAATGTGGCCAATCTAAATGACACTTAGTAGTGCCATGGTAACCCAGGCAAATGTCACCCCTGTGAGCATCTGTCCATGTGTCCAGTGAATGTCTTTGGACTGTAGCTCTGAGACTTGAAAATATTGATGCCCAAAGCTTGTTATTCTAATTTGACCAAAAAAATTAAATAAAAACAGCTCTGGGTTGGTGGGAATGTTGTTGAATTCATATAGGCTTGATTTTTGGAATGTATGAATGTTTATCATTCAGACATCTTTGCAACTATTCCTTCTTACAGTTGGACAGTTTCTGTTGACATGTTGTACAGAACGTCAGGTCCTCTCTAGGGAAGATTTTGGCCAGCTTCTGAACTACTACAGCTAGTTTTGGAAAAAATGGTAAATAAAAATAGTCATTACTTAAAAATATCTGATCTTATGATTCAAACTAACTAAATTTTACCAATGTTTTACACATGCACTGTGTTCCAGACATCAAATAAAATAGTTATACTCTTTGTCACAATGGACTGAAAGCTGAGATCCCAAGTCTGTAAAATGCTAAGAAATCTAGATACATGTGGTGAGGATCTGCAGTATATACAGCCATGGAAAAAAATTAAGAGACCACTCTATATTTTAAAAAAATCTGCATTTTTAGATCCTGGTTTAATCCTGGTTCTGCCGGCAGAGGCTACACTGTGAGACAGGTTGCTTTCAGGCTCAAAGTTTCTAAGTACACAAGAACAAGGTGAAGCAGGAGACACTGGGAACGACCAGAAACCAGACAGGTAGAGGGCAGAAGCGACTTTCTAATGCTAGAGATGACCATTAACCAATCCGACAGTTTTTCATGAATCGGAGGATGGCATCAAGTGACCTTCAAAAAGAATGGGAAACATTGAGTGCAGGCATGAAGTGCACTGCTAGGACAGTTCATATCAGGGTCCTAGAAGCAGGACTCCCAAATAGCACCAGGCTGCATCAAAAAAAATATACAGACTCTCCTCTACTTACGAATGAGTCACATTCCGAACGGCCGTTCGTAACTTGAAATGTTCGTAAGTCGCTATTCAACATCATATTAAGGGTATACGCAAGTACAAAGAACTAGGATGCTGGGAGTACGCTTACAGTCCTTTTCGTTTGTATGTCTGAAAGTTCGTAAATTGAAAGTTTGTAAGTAGAGGAGCGTTTATATATATTATTCACAGACGCACACCCATAAACTGAGTACTGTGGTCTCTTCATTGTTTCCACGGCTGTATATTATACATCTTCTCTTGGGTATTGACACTGTTACCAAAAGATTTCTCCACATATTTATCCCCAGTTATATAGTAGTAACCCAGCCATTATTTAATTGAGCATCATTTCATTTAGTTGATGTTGCTCATTATGTGTTCTGGCTCTCGCACTGGGTTCTAGCCGCACCTCTGCGCTGTGTGAGTTTGCTCCTTCGGTCCAAAGACATGCTGTGTGCACGTATGTGCCATGTAACGCACTGGCATCCTGCTCAGGGTGTACCCCAGCCTTCTGCCCTTTGCTGGCTGGAATAGGCTCCAGGCCGCCCTGTGCTGGAGAAACACTTATCAGACATGTGGATGGGGAGATAATGACCTCCTCGTGAAACATCACGTTTAAAAATAATTGTTCTCTGGTTGGGATCTCGACAGAGATACGAGGAAGGTGCCTCGGTTCTTGTTTACAACGTGTTGATGTGAACAGAGACTGGAACAGATAAATTTTTGAGACACCATATCCATGCTTCACCATCTCTGTTCCATCTCCCACGGCACAGAGCTGTAGAGCAGAAGCACCACATTACTCTGGGTCTCTATGGGCTAATGGGGCAGGGGCTTTTCAAGGGCTTTGAAAAGTAGATTGAGAAGCTGGGAGTTTTGTTTTTTTTTTTTTTCTCGTGACATTGCCAGCCTTGTTGTAACAAGCCATTCTTGTTTATGCTGCATTAGCCCATTTGGTGGACGGTAATTGATTTGTTACGGTGCCCTCTACTGAGTGCCTTTCAGAGGTGGGCAGGGGGAAAAAACTCTTTAATATTCAGTGGTTATCGGAGATGAATGAAATAATGACAATATGGTAAATAGAAATAACAAGGAATAAAAGTAGGAATTCATAAAAACTGAAAACTACAGCACAGCTAACTCGGTCATTTTGAAATTGAACACAACAGATGCATGGATCTCAGATCAGTTTATGGAAAAGGCTTACACGATTGGAATAATACATAGCTGCATTTTATGCCAGGACAAGCAGGATGCAGATAATTTAGAAATACATTGAACCTTTAATGTGCATTTGCTTATCTGTGAAGCAATATTTTTATCTTGGCAAATTTCCTCAGGGCCCGGTGATGTACGAGTCACCGGCATGTACACAGAATCGCACCGAGGCTGCACAGCTTAACGTAAACAGGGGGGACATGGATCTTGTTTGATGCTCAGAGAGGTAGCTGTTAGCTAAAAATGTTAATTTAGCCATCAGAGGGACAATGAGGGTTGTTGTTTTTGCAATTACCTGTCACCTGTACATTAATCACAGTCATTACCTGCTGATGCCATGGCTGGTCTCTCATCTCGGCAGCTTGGCGTTTGGCAATATTGAACGTTTATGGAAGAACAAGCAGTGCCATGTCTAGGGTTTTTCCGTGGCTTAAGCTGCAGTCCAAAGCTGCAGCTAAATTGTTTGACGGGGTCTTATAAGTACCCGGCTCTCCAACTGCGATCTAAGCCGTTTTAGTTAGGAAGCCGATATTCTGGGCACGAAAATTAGCCCCGCTTCCCTCAAACCCAAACACCAACATACAAACTTAACCGACAACTTGATCCAGACAAATCGTAGGCACCGTGGGAGCCCTAGATGACGTATCCGGATTTAAGAGAATAAGGGGACCAGGGCGATCTTATTGTAGCATCCTGCAGTCTAAACAAGACTAAACACAACCCCCTTCAAATTAGCCACAACATCAACAAGTAATTCCCTGGATGGGAGCCTCCAAACTAGGAGCCAGGAAAAGGCATCAGCGGTAGTCGTGTGTGAGTTAAAAAAGGACATAAATGAACATCAGCGCAGAAAAGATGTTCTTGGAGGGAAGCAGGTTTGTGTTGGTTGGGTCAAAGGGGTTTCCCTGGAAACCGGCTGGAAGAAGCAAATACTGCGCACTGTCAATTGTTTCCTCCGTAAAGGAGATTAGTGGCTCAATGGTTATCTGGGCGCATTTTTACAGGGGACCCTTGCATACCCCTTTGGTGAATTTTACCTTCCGCTTTGTCATATAATGGGCCAATTATCGGTCTTTGTCTGACAGTTATTAGTTATGAACATATCAGAAATCACAGTAATTATCTGTCTATATTTTATTACAGGGCAAGGGTGAAAAGGCCATCAACAAAAATTTAAAACTGTGAATCCTAAGTTAAAACATACTTCCATAGTTACAATTTGCATGGATTATGTGTATTCAGATGTATTGGAAAATTGTGCCTTACATATATAAGGTTTGTGCAATGAAAAATAATTTTGTGGTGTGAAATTCAACATGTGATCATACCCAGAAGCTTAAAAGGAAGTGAGGTCATAGCTTATGGTCAACTTTTTGAAAGCATTGTTTTGGTCGAATGACTTTTCCATCAATCCTGCTGTTCATATTAATGCGTTATTCTACTGAGAGCTGTCATTATATCTCTTCTGCTAAACGTCTCCAGTTCCAAGAAACTCCATTCAATAAACTACCCATTGTCTAAGCGCATATTCATATTTCCAAGGGTTATTTAAATGTACATTCCCTGAAAGGTATGCAATAACTCTTAAGTTATCAAGAACTAAAAAAAGTATAGAATTATTTAACAATTCAAAAGGTTGAAATTACCATTTCAATGACCATTGCCTATTTATGTCCAGTTAAATGGAAAAACTTGATAAGCCATGTTAGAGAATGTCCTTTTGCTCATGTGTATAAGCAGTACATGTGTTTTATTGAGCACCACTGAACGAAAGAATACCATCTTTTCTCACAGGTCTGGGTGGACGCCGGGACCCAGATTTTCTTCTCATACGCCATTTGTCTGGGTTGTCTCACGGCCCTGGGGAGTTACAACAGCTACAACAACAACTGCTACAGGTGATGCATTTAAACACACTTCCTTATATGGGCTATATGCAAATACATATGCAAATTCTCCATGGCGCCGTAACTGGAGCATGGCGAGGTAACGGTGATGTTTCTTTTCAGCTGCTGGGGTTTTCAGGTGATGTTTTTGATGTCTGCAATCTATATACACATTAATGACATCATGTATATAAACCACGACCCTCCCCCCCCCCCACTGTTTTCCACTGCCCTGTACTGCGCAGTTGAAGTATAGTGAAAACCTTTGTCACTTATTGTTTGCATGTTGTACCATGATACTGGGGGCACGTAATTTCGTGCCAATGTGCATCTCTACATAGATGGTATGACAGTAAAACCCGCTTAGCTTGACTTGACGAAAGGAATGAAATTAACTGGAACACTTGCATTGTTCTTGATGCGAAGTCCCATCAGTCTTTGGCAAACTGATCACGCTGAATGCATTCTCACTTCTCAGCAGTTGTTTGTTCCTGTGCGGTAACGCGATGACATCAGGGAGTATTGTACCTTGGATCCTTACTCTGTGCCTGTTGTACAGTAAATATAAGCGAAGCTACTATGTAATGCCTGAAAGCAGGAACTCTGCAGTAATGTCACAGGCATCTAACTATATGAGGCTCACCCATATCACAAAAAGCATATGCTTCATATAAGGCTGTCAAACATTTTTCTTATTTTGATGATATATAACAACACATGGGGTTTTTTATATGTCCACTGAAATCAGTGTTTTTTCTTGTATGATTATGGCTACATTCATATCAAAAAACACACATGACATGTAATGTACTCAAGAGAGAAGCCTGTAGGAAAACTATAAAACTTTTACATGTTCTTTACATTTTACATTTTACATTTTACCATGCATATGGTTTCAGTAGGAAGCACAATTTTATTGTTTGTTGTTTCTTAATAAAAATGTATATTGCTTTTACATTATTCATAAGAAAGACATGCATGATCTATCCATATTCAGTTGGTTTAATTAAACTGTTGTGTTCTCAGAACACAAAGTGAATCAACTGAAAAGGATGTTTCCTTTTCAAAATACTCATTCTAGTTGTGTGGAAACATTGTCCATGATTCAATTAAGTTCATTCAAAGAATTAAGCGTAAAAACTAATACTGACAAAATATTCATTTCACATGCAGAATAATGATAATAATGAATAATCATTAATGTTATTTTTAAAAAACCTTTACATATGGGCATCTTTCGGCATGCGTCTGGTGCCCAGTAGCCAAGCTGTTATGGTACAATGAACAAATGCATTTGATTGAATACAGGAGCTTCAATTGTACATTGTTGCTTGAAAGAGTGTACTGTAGGAGTTACCTTATGGAATCACAAGCAACAATAATAACATTCTTCTATTGATTTTGCTCTGGAACAGCTAAACATTATAGGTTTCACATTTAGAGGATTGTAAGACATGCAACTGACAGCAATTTTTAGCAGCGAGTGACTACTTTAACCTTCATGGGCCTTGTGATAACTAAATAAGTGCAAGGTTTACTCTGTTAAATGCCCATTAAATATTGATTATCCATGGAGTAAACCTCAGCTAAGTAACATGTGGTCAAGTAATGAGTAAAAAGGATGTGAGACTACATTGTCCTTGAAATTCGCTACGCAGTTGTTAATATAATAGGTTAAGAACATAAACGTATAAACACCCCGTATCGCTAAAATACTGTGCATAAAGACATACAACAGGGCTGTGTTTGTTTTCTATTTTATTGTTCGACATATGTTGGTTGGCACAATTAGGCGATTGACAGAATTTTCACAGTATTTCATAAGCTCAGCTGTCATTGACAAAATGAGAAGCTTACGGAGATGAATGGGGGCAGGAGGCATGGCGGGGCGACCCGGATGGGCCGCACACGGCGTTAACACCTGGCTGTCCACTACAGGGACTGCCTCATGCTATGCTGCCTGAACAGCGGCACCAGCTTTGTCGCCGGGTTTGCCATTTTCTCCGTGCTGGGATTCATGGCGTACGAGCAGAACGTGCCGATCGAGGCTGTGGCCGAGTCAGGTAGGCGCCGACCTTCATGCCCCAGCGTTCCTCAGCCCAGTCCTCAAGGACCACCAGACAGCCAGGAACATCGGAAACAGGAGACGGGGGGGGCGCTTCCCCCCAAATATTGGCAAATCCCAAAAAATGAACATGAACAGATATCTATTTAGGGCTGATCGATATTACAATATGGGTGGGTTTTGAGATCGCAGCGCACCTTTTGCTATTTAACACGTTTCTGTCATGCTGCAGATGAATCAGATAAGGCGAATTACGAGCATGCTCCTTATCTTTCATTGTGAATCCTTGTCTTTCTGAGGCCAATTCGCTGTGCATTCAGAGTACAAGGAAGATTGTAGTCATACTGTATATCACACAAAATCATTTTATCACATGGACCGGTATTGTTTTTTAGACATTTTTAATTGTGAAATTGGATTCTAAACAGTGTTATTGATTAAAAAATAAATAAATTATTTTATAACCTTTCCTACATCACATCTTTTCATGGTACCACTGTGCATGTGTGCCCATTGCGATGTCACAATATACACCCCCCCCCAGCAAATTCCTTCCTCCCCCAATGTAAGACTTCTTTCGATACCACTGCAGACCGCTAATTCAGCGCCCGGGGAGCAGTGCTTGGGGCAGGTGCCTTCCTCAGGGTATCTCAGTGGTGCCTTGCTGGTCAAACCAGCATCCTTCAATCACAAGCATGCTTCCCTAACCAATAGGCCACCACTGCCACATTTTTGTTCCCCCTCAGTTCTCAGCATTTATATACTGGGTTATCAGTGATCTTGATGGCTTGGTTCAGGTGTGCTGGTAGCTGGGAAACAGCAATAATGTTTACAGCCTGGGTCCCTGAAGACTGGGTTGAGAAGCTCTGCTCCACTCGACATAAGGATCTAATTCATCTAATATGGCATCATTCCGTGTTTCTTTTCTGCGCTGACTCCGAAGACCCTGAGAGCATGTCTAGGTGATGTGTCACCTGTTTTAGTTCTTGTTCAGTAATTTGTGCCCATTCATTTCGTTTTTTCTGTACAGGCATTGCTTTGAATAGCAATGTTTCGTCTGTTTAATATACTAATCATCAGTTGTGTCACAATGTTTGCAATTTCAACTATAAAGGCTACCCATATTGTCTGTTATATACCCACTTGGCTTTTCCAGAGGGCTGAAGGTGAGCGATCTGCCTGTTACCATAGCAACCAGCAATGAGCTTGATTTTTTATTTATTTTTCCCCACTGTGTTCCCAGACAGGTCTGTCAGTTCCATACAGGCAACGATCTCTTTGTTCTTGTTGAAGGAGCATGCACATCTTCTTGTTCCGCATGTCGCTGGTACCGAAGGACAATACTACGTGTTTTTTTTAAGCCACTGTCAGAGTGTGTTCTTTGTACTGAGATAACTGTGCTCTTGACTTTGGACTAGGAACTGTAGGCTTTCTGAGAAACTGCACTCATCTTCAAATGCAGGTGGCCCTGCTTGACACAATGTGGTAAATGTGTTCTGTCTTGCAGGACCCGGCCTGGCCTTCATCGCCTATCCCAAAGCAGTGACCATGATGCCTCTCTCTCCCCTGTGGGCTTGCCTGTTCTTCATGATGCTCATCTTCTTGGGTCTGGACAGCCAGGTAACGAAAAGCCTGCAAATGATGAATAACGGTGAAACTGCGAATATATACTGTATGTTACAAACAGCAGCATTTTGGTACATTTTGATCACATGGTATCTGAGTGGGATTTCCCATGAGGGACGTCCAGAAGTCCCAAAGAGAACACCCACATCATGACGTGGAAAAATAAGGCATTGAGGAAAATATGCATTCATCATATATAGTTATTGCAGCCAAAATTCCTCATAGCACTGACAACAATTTAATTTGAGCGTTACTTGTGTACAATGATGAAATACTTAAAGAGAAAGATAAGAAAAACATTTTAATATCATCACAGAAGCCAGAAAAGCAGTGTCTGCAAACTCAAAAAAACATATCAATTCGGTGTAAAATTAGCACTGAAAGTGACCAAGGATTAATCCTAGTGACACTTGAAATATATAGAACGGGAGTCAAACAAACTGCGAGCAATCCGCTTATAGTGACTCGACGGATCACCACCGACTATAGACTGCATGTGGAGTGCTTTGAAATCTCAATCGGGAAGAAAAGTCAAGCTTTCAGATGCCAAGGATATCTTGTTCTGTGCAAAAACGGACACATTAGCTATGTTCAGCCCGCCTACTCTTAAGCAAGTCTGACAGTATGAAAGGAGAAGAATTAGCTGTAATGGGAGGAAACAACTTTTGAAGGAATTGCAACTCTTCAAGAGAATACTAACAAAAAAAACATCAAATATGTTAAGCTAATAAAATTAACGAGACTATAAATCTAGTTACCTTCCAGTAGCATGCACTGGTGTAATATCCTACATGGGACCTGTATAGATACTGGGTGTGTTCATTTAAAAAAATCATTACTCATGTTAAATGTAAAATTTTATGTTAAGCCTGTTGATTAACAGTCAGGCATTTCGACCATATGTATGTAATCACTGACTGATTTTGTCAAAGCACGCTTTGGATTTATTCTACTTGTTGGAATGTGCATTTGCAAATAATGTGATGTGCTTTCAGAATTAGAAACTAGGCATAAGAAGACAATAGTTTAGTAAAACATTGTTTTGCTATATATATATATATATATATAATTCTGAGCCTCAGATTGATAACGTGATATCATCAAATATCCCACAACTTTAAAATCATCACCACTATATATGTTTGTCCGATTTCCATACAAACTAATCAATCACACCAGTAAGAGCCCAGTTTAGCTTAGCCCCAACTACGCACACCACAGTGAAGGTATAAATGCCCAGCATAGAGCATTAAAATGTGTAATGACTTCTTTTCTATATTTGTTTTGCACAGTTTGTCTGTGTAGAAAGCTTGGTGACCGCCATAGTGGACATGTACCCTCAGACCTTCAGGAGAGGGTACAGACGAGAGCTTCTCATCCTTTGCATGTCAATAATCTCCTATTTCCTCGGCCTGATTATGCTGACAGAGGTAAGAATTCCATTTTCCTGATTAGATATAGACATATGCGCACATATGACCATAAAGACGTCAGCCATAAATTACAATTATACCTGATAATTTCTTGTCATGCCTGTACCTAACACTGAAGACACAGAGGTCAAGTCCTTGGTGTATTTTCTGCAACTCCAATAACCACAATCCATTAATGGGCACACCTAGGAAGGGCTAACACTTTTGACCTCAGTATTTAAAAAATTGTGGCTACGGCCATATTTCTTGTGCTATTTAATTAATTAAATGCCAATTCGTTTACGCAACTGAAAGATAAAACCAAGATGGCTACCGCAGACGATCAACTTAGATGTTCGTTTTTTATGAAATCATTAGCTCTGCATGCTGTTGATCACATATTAACACTTGCTCCTGCTGACTAAATCTGCAGAATTTTGTCTTGATCCACGTCGCTGTGGCTTTCTAACATTACCTACAAAAACATATATAACTTAATATATAATGTGCTGCTTTGGAGAAGTGAAGCTTCCCAAAATAATCGATGTAAGGTGTTAGTTTCCTCGCTGTGGCCTACAGAAGATGTTACGCTCAATGCTGAACACAAGAGGGCGCTCATAACAATGGTTATCATTCCCGACATGAAAAGCATCATTCATGCCTGAAGCACAGAGGCTCGCTTTCCCAACACCTCTTGCTGATCGTCAGCATATTCCAAGATAGATTTTCTTCTCTGTTTAATTTAGAAATGTCTAAGCGAGGCCCTGGGGATGTATTCTGACTCGGGTAATATGTAAGCATTGCCTGTAAGGGCTTACTGCGGACTTATAGACTTTGCAGTTATATGTGAACACGCTGGCAAACTAATGAATTGTGTGAGTACAGCAGGTGAAATCTGGGTGAAGAATTGCATAAGCTTCCTCAAGATAAAAATAAGTTATTCTTATGAATGCCTAGCGAAGCAGATGTTATGCTTGTCATTGTCCGTACAAGATCTAAATTAAGTCTACAAGATCTAGACTGAATACCTCATATACTCCATAATGTATTTCACTACATTATGTGATGATTGTACAAATCGGGTGCCTTCTTGGAAAGATTTTGATTGATTTGGCTTTTGTTACAGCCATCTAAAATGCCACGTGAAGGGTCGAATGCACATTAAACAAGTCCCCTTTTCATTCATTTTATTTTTTGTCAAATTATCACCTTATTTCTAGTCCTCTGCCATTTGACATCAGACTCTGCCATCCAAAAAACACTTCAGTGTCTTCCAGGAAGCAAAGGGCATTGCGTTAAGCCCCCTCTAGTGGAGACCACAGCCGCTGGAGGACTCTTGAGTAGTAGCCATTTGTGATGCACTGGCTGACTGAAATCCCGCCCTCCCCAAGCGGAACAATGTCTATTTATTCTACTGCTGTGGGACTTCCCAATTGACACAATTCACATGCTGAAATCATCCCTGCTGTTACTATCCAGTCTAAGCGTGATTTGGCTGTACTGACCAGGCTGTATTCTAGAAGAGCCCAGCATTCTCTTTTTATTGTAGCAGTGTTAAGAAAGAGCTCCATCCAGGTTTTATTACCAAGATGTTCTTATTATGGTATGTTAGACTGCAAAATAAACCCCAAGGCCACATATTAGGGTGGTGTTGCTGGAAAGTAAAGAATGGCATTAGCATGAAAATATGGTTTGAAACAGAGTATTAAAAAAGTTTTTTTTTCCTCTCAGAACAACCTTATTATGTTAATGCATCTGGTAATGCTTGCGAATACAGATAATAAGCAGTTTACTGTAGATACATGATATAGTTTGTGCACATATGTGGAGTACATTCTGTCTTCAGTTGTACTACAGTGCCCCTAGTGTCACAATTTAGTATAGACAATTCGGTAACATAAAACATTCTCAGGGAGTAACATACTGTACTGTATTAAATTTTAACCCAAACGTACCCTTTTCATAGATGTCAAGGTTTCCCGAAATTTCCTTCCAGACTGATCAAGTAATCTCAAAATATATGTATTGGTCAACAAGTAATAGTGCAACTGCAAAAATCAGATAATTTCTTAGGGAATGATAGATTTTAGTTGTATCAAGACTCATATGCAAATCACTTTATGATATTGCATGGACTACCTAGTGATCCAGCTTCTGCAGCTTAACAGGTATACAACAGATCCAGATGCAAGACAGAATTCTCATGCCTGCCTAATATACCAATATAGATCGTTCCATATTTCAGTCCTGATGTGGTCAGCTGATCATACTGTTTACTTTGTCTCCATCCTCAGGGTGGGATGTATGTGTTCCAGCTGTTTGATTCCTATGCAGCCAGTGGGATGTGTTTACTGTTTGTGGCCATCTTTGAGTCCATATGCATTGGCTGGGTATATGGTAAGTAACGCGTAGTTTTGAATTTCCGGTTTTTGTAGAATAATTATCATTCTGTGCATTTTACACTGTCTGTTTACTCTGAAACATACCTTAAGATTTATGGTTATATCCTAATGAACATCACAAACAGAATTAAATTTTTCGAGGACCATTGCTGTTCTTACTGTGCCCCCTGCTGGAGAGACACCCCAATTACATATTCCTTTTCATAAAAGGATATAAAAGCCTTTTCCGGTGCATTAAAAATAGAAATAATTGAAGCACTGAAATTGTGTGAAACAAAGTGTCAGTCATGTGTAACAGTTGAGTAGATTTGTTCCCCTGTTTGCAGTGTGTTTACAAGTTTTGAGGCACTGCTGAAAGTGTATGTATGGGTTCATTGCAGGTAGTGACAAATTCTACACTAATATCGAGGACATGATTGGCCACAAGCCAGTCTTCTTCATCAAGTGGTGCTGGATGATCCTGACCCCAGGCATCTGTGCTGTGAGTTCCACATGCTACGTTTAACAATAATAATGCAAGGCCTGTGTGTTATTGAATGCAGAATTCCTGTCAAATTCTGCTGATCAAAGATGCTCGCCTTTAACAAAATTCTCGAAGATATTCCATGGATAATTCCAATTACCCATAAACTGCTGCTTAGCCTGAGCAGGGTTGTGGGGGAGGGGAGCTGGAGCCTATCCCAGGCAGCACAAATCTGGGATGCACTTTGGCAGAGGCAGACATTTCAGATCCAGAAAGTAAAAATTCAGACCAAGATTTTGTTTCAACTAACCAGTTGAGTACTGTGTGACTGTGACTCAACTTGTGCGACTCAGCTGGATGGTTGGAAGAAAATCTTGGTCTGGATTTTTACTTTCTGGATCTGAAATGTCCATCTCTGCACTTTGGACAGGATTCCAGCTCATCACAGGATACATGCATACAGTTGGGGGCAGTCCGTGGCTCAGTGGGTTAGGCCTCGGCGCCTGTTACTGGAGGATTGTTGGTTCGAACCTAGGAAGTCACATCCCTGATCGAGTAAGGCCCTTAAGCCCCTGCAGTGCTCTAGGGGTGCTGGGAAAATGCCTGATCTGAACCCTAGCTTTGCTCTCATCTGTGTGAGTGTGTTTAGGTCTCAAAGGACAGCAAGAGAGAATTTGTGAATAGAAGTGTTCCACTCTACCTGTACTCACATTTGTTGAAATAGTGCATAAGTTTAATTTTAATCATGCACCCCATATGGGCAATTTGAGACACCATTTCATCTAACTGTAAGCATTTGGACTGATTGTGTGAGTTCTACAAAAATGTTCTGAGGGCAGAACAAAAAATTATTGGTTCTGAGAGATACTGTAACCAATCAGACTGAAGAGGAAGTGGGTCCAAACAACTACAGGAGGCGGGACATCTGATTGGTTGGTACCACCTCCTCTAATTGCTTGGACCCACCTCCTCTGCAGTCTGATTGGTTCGTTATGTGAACCATGAATCATTTATCATTCTGCCCTCAGAACACTTTTATGTAAGTAAAACTCCCATGAGTGTTTGGACTGTGGCAGGAAACTGTAGTTACAGCTGCAGGAAAAAAGACCACTCTATATTTTAAAATCCTGGTTTAATCCTGGTTCTGCTGGCAGGAGCTACGCTGAGCAGCAGGATCCTTCCAGGTTCAAAATTTCTAAGACAGCAGTACACAAGAATAAGGTGAAGCAGGAGACACTGGGAACGACCAGGAACCAGCCAGGTAGAGAGCGGAAGCGACTTTCTAATGCCAGAGATGACCGTTAACTTATCAGAGATGGTAGGATGACGTCAAGTGACCTTCAAAAGGAATGGCAAACATTAAGTGCAGGTGTGAAGTGCACTGCTAGGACAGTTCATATCAGGTGACTAAAAGCAGGACTGAAGTCCCATAAAGCAAGGAAGAAGCCCTTCATTAATGAGGAACAGAGAAGAACCAGACTGCAGTTTCCAAAATAATATATATTATTCACAGGCACACACCCATAAATTGAGAAATGAGTGAAACAAAAAATTGTGTTGTGGGCTCTTAATTTTTTCCGCGGCTGTACTGTATGTGACATGGGGCGTGAACACAGAGTGGGAATGGGATTGGAGCCCCACTACGCTGGCGATGTGGAGCCACCCTGTGATCCGCCACGCCCCCTCTCCCCATCATAATGTCATGTCATCCCGACTCAGGTCCTGCCAGAATCTCTTTTTCCCAGGTATCCTTAGCGGATTGCACTTGTGTCATACTTATATTTATTCTTTTGTCTTTCTAGGGGATCTTCCTGTTCTTCTTGATCAAGTACAAGCCCCTGAAGTACAACAACGTATACACATACCCAGACTGGGGCTATGGTATAGGCTGGATGATGGCCCTCTCCTCCATGGTCTGCATTCCCCTTTGGGCCGCCTTTAAGATCTGGAAAACAGAAGGAACCTTTAAAGAGGTAAAACAGGGAATCGTCCTCCACTGTTAAATAAGCATTCAGTCTTGTTCTGTATTGCAAATTAGTCTCATTCTTTCTAACTAAAGGGTGGATGCCAGTCCATCACAAGTCATCTACACACACACTGTGGGCAATTGTAAGATACAGAACACCAAGCTGCATGTTTTTGGAATGCCGGGAATACTGGGGCATGTGAGGAAATCCACATGACATGGGGAGAACATGCAATCTCTCTCTCTCTCTCTCTCTCTCTCACACACACACACACACACACACACACAAAGGTGTATAATTCTATCTTTGTGGGGACTCTTCATTCATTTCTGTGGGGAAAACGATTATCCCAACATGACGACTTTAACCCCTAACTAGCCCTAACCATAAGTAACAAAACAAAATATAAGACTTTTGGCATTTTTTGTTTTTTGATTGCATTGATAAATTTTTGTGGGGACCTGAAAATTGGTTCATGCAATGTCAAAGTAACAGGTGGGGTACATACTGTATGGTTCTCACAATACAATATAAACATAATCCAGACACACACACACACACACACACACACACACACGCAGGCTTAGTCAGAAAGAAATAGCATTATCATTGCACATGAATTCTTTTGATATTTCATTTTATGCATCCGTCGCAAGAAATTCGGTGATGTTATGAAGAGAATGTGACCTTTTGAAAAATGCTGTGAGCAGTTAAAAGTTTTTATGGAATGTTCAGTTCTGGAAATCTCTGTCTGGTACACTGATCAGAAAATCCTGATGTGCCTCTTAAATAAGGTCTTTCGTATTTCTATGGTAAAAGGTTCGACTGCGAATGGCAGGGGAGCTCAGCCGGGCTGATGCTGTGGGGTTAGGGTTTTTAGCACATCATAATGCTTTTTGCCACAGTATTTCCGGAAAGCATAATACGTCTTGTAATTACTCTGCTGCTGTAGCTTCTCCCGTGACAAGACGTTATGTAATCTGTGAATGCCTCTGGAATTGTAATTTGTATAGGTTGATTTTGGGTTGGTAATCTCTGCTCGCAGGGGAACTGGGAAGTGTCCTAAACAGCAGGGTGAGACAAGGGGTTTGCTAACAGAGAATCAAATGTATTTGTCGGAATGCATTGTCCTCTGAGACTATTTGGCTTGTGACAAGGTCAGCTGTGAGAATGCTGTTTATTCTTTATTGATTAATTTCTGTTTACTGTTAATGCAACGATTTAGATTGCTTTTAATGAAACTATTTTTCTATGTGTGGATTACCGTAGAGGAATCTGAGCACAAATGATATAGTGGTTGTCATAGTCTTCTAACTAGATATTTAACTGAAGTAAAGCATCTTGATTTGTCGTCTAGCTAAGCAGCGTTGGGCCTTGTTAGTCCTAGAATGGAATACCTGAGAATACCAAGTGTCGTAAGCTTTTTTTGCTGTGAAGGGTTGGTGCTCCATCCTGGGATAGGCTCCAAACCCCAGGGACCCTGCATAGGACAAGCAATTATAGAAAACGGATGGATGGATGGATGGATTTGCTATGTTGGTTGCAGTCAAAGCTCCTTGCTCGTTTCCCCAGTTTCTGTGTAGTCACACGCGTTTGAACTCTTTCACCCGGCAGAGAATCAAGAAGCTGACCACGCCCAGCCCAGACCTGAAGATGAGGGGAAAGCTGGGAGGCAGTTTGAGTCCATACGCCGTCAATGACTGTGACGCCAAACTAAAGGGCGACGGAAACATCGCCACCATCACAGAAAAGGAGACACACTTCTGAGCGGCCATGGGCAAACTTGGCCGCGCCATGCCACACCATGCCACGTCACACCATGCCACGTCACAACATGCCACGGAAGTGACCGCAACCATCAAGGACACTGACGAAAAACAGACGACAGTAGGAACAAATTCCATTGTGTGTTCTTACTCTGTAAAGAAGCAGAAAAGGTCATAATTATAGAGGCTCGCTTATTTTGCACAAACTTCATTAACCGGTTCATTTTAGGTCAACATTACATAATAAGTAAAATCTACTCTCTTAATGTTACAAATATATAAAAATATAAACTGCTCAGACCTGATAGTATTTAGTCAAACTTTGTGACAGTAGTAAATGTTTACTGTTAGAAGGACACCAATGTATAATGTGCTGTAAAACTTTTATACTTGGACTTGTTTTGGCAAAGTGATGTATAGGTATGTTTCTAATGTCTAGGATAACTTCGACCATCCCAAATTGTAATGTATGTCTACGGGTTGAGCGAGCATCCCATCCTTGCTGTTATCGAGCAGGAGGGCTCTTCACTCTGGCCCCGGTCATAATAATCACATGTAATGTAAGGAATGAGGCTCGGAGACCCAGAGTGGGTGGGGCTAATCTGTAGTATCACATACTGTAGTCAGTCACTGCCTGGTCTTAAGCCAGTGCGTTAAAGCCAGTGGAATGTTGGTTAAATTACTTGTGTTTGATAAGACATGATACCCCACTCATCGTGGATGTCAAAGCCTAATTTTGTCAATCAGATGATCCCACCTCCCACACTTCCTGTTCCTACTTTGAGTCACTTCGCAACTCGCGGGGCGAGTTTACGAAAGTATTATTTTTTCCTAGGTTTTCTTTTTTTTTTCTTCCAAAGGCATAGAATTCTGTTATTTCACAGTGATTAAACTGAGTTTAATCAAGTGTGACAGAAAGAGGACAGAGGTGGGGGGAGGGATTTATCGTTACGTTATCTGCTGTAGCTGTGAATCAAAATACAGTCCTGCACATGTCTAAGATCCACGTGTCTCTACCACCCAACCACCCCACCTATACAGTGTCAATGTCTAACATGGAGTTTACATTGTAGTAGCGTCACACATGTATGGACCTGGGTGCCTGGAGGGCGGCATTCGTGTGACACCAGGTCGGTGGGTTTAGCGGTACCTGTTTGCGGGCCCTAGCTTGGTGGTCATGGCTTTCGGTTCAAAAGCCAGACTGAGGCTGGCTGCATCTCGAAGCTCCCTAACTCTCCACCCGCATTCTGTTTGTGTGCTACTGTTATTGCTGCTGCTAAACAGTCATGGACCTGTGGACTCTGTACACATGCATGCTCCTTTGGTGTGGTCTGTACCATCATGCATCACTACTCAAGTTTGTGCTAGTTACACGTGCACATTTAACTGACAATTAACATTTTTGATAGATGTATATTTTTCAATCTTGTTAGTCTGTGTACTATTTCTTGAGAAAACATGTAAAAGATATCCACATTTCTGTGAAGACTTTTGCTATGTTGTACAACAATTTGTCCTTTTGAAGTTTTAGCAGTATAATGAAAATGTTGTAAGTACTGTTTTACACAGATTTTGGTATTCACAGGGCACAAGATTTTATTGTCTGTTTACTCATTTTTGAAAATAAATATTAAAAAGGATGTTAGTATTCAGTCGCTCATTTTTGCTTACCTAACAGAGAGAGAAAACAAGAATGGAAGATTGGTGAGTGACAGGAAATAACTACACACGTTGACTCAGATTTTGAAAATTATAGTTTTTTCTGCCCATTTTCACAAATATAGACAGGAAAACAGAATAAATGTGATTTGCGGTTTGATCAACAGTGCCAATACTTCAGGGCAGAAGGCCCTTCAAAAGAGCTTGTCGGAATTTTTGCCAGTGAAGGTCTTTAGCCTGCAGTCAGTAGGAAAGGCATAGCTGATTTGCCATGTCACATTTAAATGTGGATGAGCGGTGCCCTGAGGAGCAGCTAATACTGCCACGCCACCCAGAATCCCGACATCGCCCAAAGATGATGACAACCTAGATACAATGTGATGGTTTCATAATCTTCAGGACCTAAAAACGGAAACAGAAGTATATGCGGTGCATTCTGAAACAGTACAGAAATACACACAGTAAATCTGTAGAATTTGCCTATGCATACACCCTATCTATTCTGTATTTTGAATTTAAATATTAACATTACAAGCGGACTTATGACTGACATTTGTCTATTGTGATGTATTCGTGATGTAATTAGGCTGCAAAATGGCATAGTTCCTTGCCTACCAGCATTCCTGTTAGGCTTTATTGCTCTTTACTTGTCTTTTTTTGCGTGCGGTGTCGACAATACACTATAGGAGCATGAGAAAGGGAACAGAGCTAGCGTATGCGCTGGTATTATTGTACAAGGCAATCAAAGCGCCGGAGCCTCCTCCTCAGCGCTCCATCGGAAAGGCGGGGAGCGGCGGGGCTCTAATGGCATGCAAATGACGGCTAGCGGAGCCGATAAGCGGTTCACGGAAGCGGAGACGCTCTGCATCGGCACCACCGGGTTCACGGACTCAAAATCGCTTTGAGAGTATGATTGCTCTCTGGGCCGAGCTAAGACCAAAGAGGACGGGGGAGGTGGAAAAAATGCAGTCCGAGAATACAGTTTGATAAGAAAATCCTATTTATAGACGTGGGCTGGAGGAAGATGATTTAAACTCAGATAGGCATCTTGAAAACCATAGCAGCTCTAGAGCAGGCTGTAGGCTGTGCGATGTCATGTGACCGCCAGCCAAAAGACACGTGACGCAACAGCCGCTCTTTTGTAGTCATTTGTTTCATTGCTTACTAATACTGTTAAGAAGAGAGATGGTTCCATTTTTAATAAAAAAATGTTTTAAGATTTTTTTTTCATTTATTTATTTGTATTGCAATTACGTTTAAATTAAATAACCATGGAAAAACAACATGCACTAGATGAAACTGCAAGTACCCTCGTTCTCTAACCATTTTGTTTCATATGTTATTCGTTTTATTTGATTAAATACCGTTATTTGGTCCCTTCATCTAAAAAGTAATCTTTAGTACTCCTTACTTTTTGTAATTTTCAGAAAAATATCATACGAAACTTTTTAAAAAGCATTCTTTGCTTTTATTATGATTTTCATTATTAATAATAATTCCTCACCATATGCTTCTTATTGAATCAAATATTTTGTAATTTTGTAAAGTATTGTACTGTATATTCGTTCAAAGTGAATAGATGGTGAGTGATAGAGGCTCACTTATAATGGAAATTATGCTTGACTGAATTGCTTAGTTTTAATCAATATGTCCCGCGATGTCCAAAACAAAAGCAAGATAGAATTGATTCGGACTGCATACTACGAATGAAGCATATTGATTACTTTATAGTTGAATGGTTGGTTTTAAAATAGACTGGCTTTCATTGATGGACAGCAAAAGGTCATGTCATTTAATTACAGTTTTAGGGTACCTGGCTGTAACCTGACATGCCACAATGTAACAATTGCACTTGATTTGTTGGATTTTTAAAGATTTTTAAAGCATCGATATTTGTCATGTATATTATATTTTATTAATACAAAATTCAGTTGTACAACTTTACAATAGCACAGCAAAAACAGCATGTTTCAAAATTGTAATTTTTTAAAATTTATTTAAAATATGTGTTGAGTTATATCATGTCATAGAAGATTCAATATTTAGAAATTCATATGAGACTCCTATCAGTATTCTGCCTTAGTAATATTTAGATTTTTTTTCCCAATTCCACTGAGCCTACTAATGTAGATACTATGCTGGCCAGTCTCGATTCCCTAAATTGGTCAAATAAAATGGTTTGGTTTGTGACAAAGAAAATTATAAAAGACTCTCTAATTTGGCTCATTGAAATGCTGAATATTTTATATTTGGATTCCAATTTGAGGTTTCCAAGACTGTGCCCACTGATCATACCACCATTGCAAATGGATTTTGTAATTGGTATTATATACTGTATAAACAGGAAAAAACACACACAAGTAGCTGCTGTAAAATCATGCTCGTTTGCACAATACCCAATGTCTTAATGCGTCTCTAGGGGGCACCAAAATCAAAAAATGAAATTATTGTTTGAAGTGATCGGCCTGCCTTCATCTGCAAGCAGTATCATTAAAACAGCACATATAATACTTTATCTGGAGCACAGTTTTGAATATTTTCTATTACATAATTTTCTAATGAAACACTACTCTTGAAAGTATGTACAATTTAAATTGTGATATGTTTATTGAACAAATGATTTAAACAATTAAGGTATTAGATAAAGTGACATTTAGGAGAAAGACCTTTTGAAAAGATGATAATTGTATTGTTCTAATCAATTCAGGTATGGTTGTATCTGTCCTCAAACAAATGACAGGAGCTGTAGGGTGACAGCTAAGGATCTGCAGACATCTCTCTCACTTGATCTCTCACTGATGTCTTGAGTAATATAAAGAAAAACAATAAATAAGTGTTTGAGGTTAAGATGGAGGGAACTGCTGTTCTTCAAAAATCATCTCATCTCAAGTTTACTAAAGAGTCCCCCAGCAGTACTGGAACAATGTTTTGTCTACAAATTAAGCAAAAGTTGAACTTTGTGGTAAATTTACACACCATCATATTGGAAGAAAAGAAAACACTGCCTACCAACACCAAAACCTCATCCTAGCTGTGAAGCATGATGGCATGAGACTGTTTTACTGCTTTGGGGATGGGATGGCTTACAGTCACTGAGGGACCAAGGAATTCTAAGTTGCTCCAGAAAATTCTACAGCAGAATCTCAGAGCAATCATATGTGATCAAAAACGTCAAAAGAAGTTGGATCGGCATGACAAGGATCCTAAACATAGGTGTAAATCATTATGTTCAATGAGGAAAGAATTGAAGCAGATTTGTTGAGACATTAGACCAAACTACTTGCTAACTGTTACAGCGATCTGACCAGCAGCTACACAAACAATTTGTTTGAACTTATTGCCAATTAAAGAGATTCTACTAGTTATGATCTATAAGGGTCCACATACTTTCTCAGTGATTGTTTAAACAGTTTGTTCACTAATGAAATAACAATGCTAAATGTTTGTGTTGTTAAGATCACATTCTTCGGGCCATTCATGTACATAATGCCAAAGGGTTCGCAAACTTTTTCTCACAAATTATTAATATGGTTCAAATCACTGCTTTCTCACCATAAAGTTTTTTTAGACATTTAAATCCATAATTTCAATCAGTCAGATGTTACAAGTTTTAATGATGGTTCTATATTGAATATTTACTACATTGTTTTGGGAAGCTTATCTATGCATTCGGACCTCTACTACAGCTCACTGTGAGTATTATCTGCTCTGGTTTCTATAGTAACAGTACAATACTGGAGCACAGGGTAACAAGGCAATCTACTACATAATGAAAAAATGAACACAAAGAAAATGGAGAGACCTCGTTCCACGGCTCAGGGGGAGAGGAGAGCGTTGAATACAGAGGATTCTGGGTTTTATTTCCTAGCAGAAATGAGAATCTGTTTCAGTTGCAGTTCCTAAATCACATTGTTCATCAGTTGATAAAGTCAAATCAATTACCTGCATACCCACAATCTAAAATGTTCCTTAAACATAAACATTGCAAAACCTTCATCTTTCATAAAATAAAAAGCTATTGCTTGCAGAAGTTAGTTATTTTAATAAGCTGGGGCACATCCTTTATCAGCGAAGAGTGCAATCAAATATTTTCTGTGGTTGCTAATCACCGTCTCACATCTTCTTTGAAGAATTCCTCTCCATTGTTGCTGAAAGACCAGCTTCGGCTGTTCTATGCCTGTGGCCCGTCTTGCATGAGCGGGCAACTCAATCTTTGTCACAAGTCCTCTATTGTGCTGAGGTCTGTATATTGATTCACATGGAGAAACATTCAAGGTTATCATCATGCTTCGGCTCAAGGATGCAGGACATTGTCCTCTGTTTTGTTTTGATTCTAAATCTGTGGCTCTTTCAATAATAGCAAATTGCCTGGTTCATTTAATAGCAGGCCCTAATTATATAACTTATGCCACTCTGCTTTTCCACTGGGATAGTATTATTTTGGTAGCAGGCATCTCCAGAGATTGTCATCAGAGCATCGGTAGCAATATGGAATGGCTGTGGGTCTCCGAGGACCAGTTTGGCAAACACTGCATTGGGGAATTCATGCCCTCTTACACCCCTGCCCCTAGCTGAGCCTCCATACACTACAGTATATTCCCCTGATTCTCAAAAACCTGTTGCCTGCCCTTTGACTCTAAGCTTTTCTTTTCCCAAAATTACGATTTTTCCACTTTGCAGAACTTTAATGGATCAAAGAAGAAAATGGTACGTGAGGAACCAACCTTAAAAGGGGGGGGGGTCTGCTTTCCAATTTTTGGATAGATATGATGGGATCTGTGGGTGTAACTAAATAGTTTCAGAAATTAGACAGAAATTAGATATCACTCTCATTTCCATGGGAAGATTTCATCACCGCCAGCAATGAAGTGACTGTTGTTTCATGGCATGTGTGTTGACCTTAATAAGCCAATATGCCATAACAATAATATTATGGACATGCCATCCATCAATTTTCCAATTCCCTGCTATAAGGAATTGGAGCAATGA